CTTGCCTCCCCGATCGTGGACGGCCTTGGCAAACTCCTTGAAAGGACCTTGAGCCCGTGCACACGCATGCTCGTTCCTAAAATCAGCAGCATGTCGGGGCCGAGCGAAAGGTCGTGCTGGACGAGGGGGCTGATGAGGTGGGAATGCGGGTGGTCTTCTCCGTACAGGACGATGTCGGGTCGCAGTTTGCCCACCCCTAGCGCTCGCTTGCCCCGTTCCTCGCGCGCAGCCGTTGCCCCGGCGCAATGTGGGCAGGTGGGCTGTCGACCGGCGAGGGTGTCTGCTAATCGGGTGTCTTCTTCCCACGACGCGGTGCGGGCGCACACAAAACAGCGGAGCTCGGCTAGAGACCCGTGGAGAAACACGCATTCGACGCCGCGATTAGGGGCTGCGGGTGCGATGCTTTGCGACGCCGGTGGCGTAGATGATGGGGCGTCCTGCGAATCGGCAGACGGGCCCGATGAGGTTTGTGATAGTGGTATTGGCCCCGTAGAGGAGAGCCCGCCGCTGGCGTCCCCCGATGGGGCCCTGTCAACGCCCGCTTGCCCCGGTTGCGGCTGTTCCTGTGATTGTGTCACTTCTTCCTGGCCCCCGTCCTTCTGTGACGACCCTTGGCTGGCATCGGGGATTCCTTCAGCGCCCTTCGCCGAACCCTTCGCCCCACCAGTGTTACGGCCGGACCGGGTAGAAAAGCGGTATCGGCTGCCTACCCCTAGGGATAACGAGGTACTGAGGCCGACGCGTTCCTCTAACTGATCGATGTTTTGGGTATAACACCTAACCAATTTCCTGCTGTCGCGGAGAACGCTGACGAAGCGGTGGCTGCTGGTCGGCTCGGCGTTTCGCACTTTCTCGCGAAGGGTGGACACGAAGGTGTAGAATACCGATGTTTTGGTCGGGCAGGACCAGATTTGCGAATCAAACAGATCGCGCCCCTTCATGACCGGAAGGGAATTTCGAGACGAGATGAAAGAATTTTGCGAGGAGAGTAATGGTGTGGTTACCGAAGAGGGTTCCTCGCTTTGCGACCGACTTGACTCTGTGTCCTGGCTCGACCCATTTGTCGACTCTTGATAGGGGTCGTACGTGACTTGTGGTGGGGACGAAAGAGGTGAAGAGCTCGCTGGAAGAGTATCGAGGAGGTGGGGTGGCCGAGGTCGTGGAGTGGCGAAGGCTAAGCTTGGAGGAGAGGAAGCGAAGGGAGCTGCTTCTACGCTGACATTTTCGACCACCGTGCTGCGAGGTTGCTCCTCTTTTTTCGTATTATGTTGTTGAATGTCAGGCTCGACTTCTTTTGACGCCGCGTTGCGGAGCCCTGGAAACGGTATCTCGGGCACCCCAAGGGATTGGCGACTGGAGTCGCCATATGTCCTCCGTTGCCGTTTGGCTGGCCTCGGTTCGATGGTGTCGGCATCGCTGTTGCTGTCGGTGGCTTGTTGTTGTTGGGCCTCGTCAAACTGAGCCTGTATCAACGAATATAGACCGTTCTCGGAGCGGAAGTCCTACAGTAACATGGTTAACTGGGGAGTCGTGGGAACCGTCAGCGGGCGTGGGACGCGTCTTACGGGAATGCCAGAGTTGGTGCTAATACCGGCGCCCGTGATGACAACCACCTTCCGCGATTTCCATAATGTATTCGCAATGTCTTGTAACAATGGGTCGCAACCCGGTTCAACGTGGGTTGTCGGCATGGTGGGAGCGTAACGGATTGGGAGAGCATCGGAGAGTCCTGAGGATCGGTGATGCGGGAGGAAACGAGCCGGAGCTTATGGGGTCATCGCTCTTAGAACAAGCGGGAGTATGCGACTTGGGCGCGTCGATGTTTCCCGCTGCTAATCCAGAGTTCACGGATGGCCGGTCCGGCGATGGAGCGCAACGGTTGCGAACCCTGGACTCAATTCGGTCTCAAGACGCGTTAGAAATCGGAGAATGGCGGGGTATTTCGCCTCAAAGGTTAGGTGATTTCGCGTAAAAATGACCCGTTTATTGACTGGTGGCGGTGGTAGAAGGGCATTGGGCGAGAAAGGCAAAAGGGGGCCTTTGTTTTGGTGGCTATTTCTCTCGAAAGAGGGTCGATGGCGGATGTTGAAGCTTGCAGAGTGCTCAGGTCACGGTGGAGACAACGACGCGCCGCAAGTTTGCAGGGAATCTCGAGGATCCTTGTAACGCGGTTGGTGCCAAGACCTGGGGTCAACCGTTGATAATACTCAAAACACAGATGGAAAGGCATATCAAATGATGATGTTGTGGCCCCGGGGACAGCCGGAGTATACCCAAGCATCGTCCAAGCAATTTTGATATTTGCAACTCTTCCAATTGCTTCTCCATGAGGACCAAAGCTGTGTCATTTTGCCTGGTTCGCGTTCGATCTCGTCAACGCCAAGGCGGCCCCACTCCCGTCCCCTGGCATGGCCCCACAAGCGCAGTTGTTTCGGCTTCTGGAAACACTCGGGAAACGTTTGGTGACGTTGGCATGGCATGTGGTTGGACACAAGGCCCAAGAATTCTTGAGATCAAGTGCAGCCCAGTATCATCACCCACATGCTGGCTCATCCCCAGCCCCTGTTTGTAACTCAGTACTCTTCCCGTAGACGCCGCCGTCCAGTATGACAGCCTCATTATCGTCCCGGTCATCCTGCACCCTCCGCCAGCGCGCACTCCTGTCCTTCCTCCCCTCCAACTCTTCCCCCTTCCCCTTGATGTCGTAGACCGGCCTGACCAAGCCGCCCAAGAGCGGATTCTTACTGAAAGCACCACCGCCCTGGCCACCACTGCTCCCATCCGCCCGCGGCGTGACTGACACACCGCCCCCTCCAACCCCATCCTCCTCCTCTCCAGGACTCGGCGGCCGCTCTATCTTGGCCATCTTCTTGAAAACCTTCCGCCCAGACAGGTCAATGCTGACCACCTGCTGGCGCTTCTCATACTCGGGCTTCGCGTTCCACTCCATCTCCCTCAGCAACTTCTGCTGCCGCTTCAGCGCCAGCGCCCGCTCCTCAGCACTCGCCCACATGCCCCCCACATCCGTGACATCAAAATCCGCCGCCTCATCCCTAACCGTCGTGCGCTTCGCATTCTGCTCTTGGAACCCCAGCAGCCGATCCCGATGCTGCAGCGCCATGGCCTCGGCCACCGTCAGATCCGCCTTGTCCACGCCGGGCCGAGAAAACGGCTTCTTCGGGCCCGCGGCCTCAGCCTTGCGGTGCGCCTCGCGGTCCATAGCCTGGCGCTCGCGGCCGCGCTCGGCACGCAGCTCGCGGATCAGCGTCTGCACCTCCCCCGCGCTGAGCAGCGGCGCGCCGCAGAAGGTGCAGGGGCCGAGCCCTTCCTTGATGCAGATCACCTTGCCGCAGCTCACGCAGTTGGGCGCCGCCTCGAGCAGCGGGTGGCGCGTGGCTACGCAGTTGCACCGCCGTGCCGCGACGTCGTTGGAGGCGTGGGATGGGTTGGTGGTTAACTCTAGAGAGCGGATCGCTTGGTCGAGGTCATTGAGCGCGGTGGAGCTGCCGTGCATGGGGGTGCCGCCCGTGATGGAGATCTTTGTGGTGGTCGGCGGGTTGTTGGTGTTACGGGAGGAGGATGGGCCGGGCGTGGAGGTGCGCGAGGCGGGGGTGGATTTTGGCTTGGGTTTGGGGAGGCCAAGGTCGGAGACGAGAGTGCCTGCCCCGGACGGGGGAGGTTTAGATGACTGGGGAGCTGGCGTGGCGGACTTGAGTGACGACCCCAGATTGGTGCGGTGCGCATTGTTGTTCGGCGGCGTTGATGTACCTAACCTCCCAGACATATAATCTTCTTGTTGGCCCTTCTTGTTATACACTGTCCCCGGCGCTAGCTCAAACGATGCGACTTGTCGAGGAGGCGGGGTATGTATCGCGGCCTTTTTCTTTTTAGGACCGCGGCGTTGCTTTGGGACGGCATCGGCTTCGGAAGTCTGCCCTGAGCTGGGCGCGGTGACAGGTGCGCTGCGTGGTGTCGGCTTCGGTTCTACACGGCGGGCGTTGAAGGTGGAAATGAAATCGATGACCTGCGATGAGTCGCCGAGCAGGGTGCTAAAGTACTCGATCGCTCCGACTTTGGATAGTGTTGCCCCATGGTCTAACACCTGCTGCAACCCGTCGTCAGGCAGCGGCAGCAGCTGGAATAATTGTTCTTTGGACATTGCAGAGTGTAGCTCTTAGACTAGAGCTTCGGGCGAGGCGGACGGCAGTTTGGGAACGGGCAGAGCCGTAGAGTGACAATCTGGACGTGACAGGTCAAGGACAAGGAGTGACCGACCTTAAAATCGTTGGCGGGGACCTAGGTAAGATGTACCCTGTTGTTCCATCACTGTTCCCCTGTAACCACCCACCCCACTGACTCATCCGGCCAATACCTCCCGACCCCACTAATTACACGGTCTGTCCCACTAATTACACGGTCTGTCCCACTAATTACACGGTCTGTCCCACTAATTACACGGTGTCCGTTTAGGATTAGTGCCGCGCAGGGGTCAGAATGTCATTCCCACCCAAATTTTGCAGCGCAGTACATCGGCAAACCTTTTCATCAGTTTGATCGAAAATGGAAGCCAAAGAGTTCACAACAACTAGTTATTCGTTCAAGTGTCTCAAGTGTGTTCCAAACACAAGTGTGTATTGCTTACTGGAAAACTCTCAGAGCTCTCCAGAACGAGTGACTATATACTGCTATCTAATGTGTTGATCCCTGTGCCCCCCGTGTGTGTTGATCCATCTCACCAGATGCCTCCCCCGTCACAGTTCGCCAGAGGAATGTCCACGCAACTCCCGTATGGTTCGCGCTCGCAGTTTTCTATGGCGCCATCATACGAGAGCTACCCACAGATTCCACAGCAAGCGGCTTAGGAGGTCGCTTAGGAGGCGCCACCGCAGGGCTGGACCGCAGAGGAGTGGCAGCGATTGCAGCAACAGGGGGGGGGTTACGACAGAGCTTGATATTATCACGGATTTGAGCGAATTGCGCCCAGTTTGATGGATTGAGATGTCAGATAGTTACCTTGTTCGGTTTTATACACATGTTTGCCGATGTACTGCGCTGCAAAATTTGGGTGAGGAATGACAATCTGACCCCTGCGCGGCACTAATCCTAAACGGACACCGTGTAATTAGTGGGACAGACCGTGTAATTAGTGGGGTCGATACCTCCACCAATACACCCTTAAATGTGAAATGCCGGCCGAGAGTCATCAACCGCGAGAATAAAAATTACTTTGCTCATGTTTTTTGCCTTATTTCGTTTCTACATTCGAGATCTTTTTTTTTTTTTTTTTTTTGCTTGCCCGTTGAGGTGGGTGCCACCAGGCAGGAAAGTTTAGCGCCAGTCGCGCGCCTTCTTGACGCGTTAGCAAAACAACATTCAACATCCATCGTGAAACCAAGATATGGAGGGCACAACCAAGCCTTCATCGACACGGACAATCGGACAGCTTCCCTACACGTCAAAGGGAATTCTACTTGCGCTTCGTGTTCAAAAGTGTTGACTTCTCCCATTTAACATTCTAGTCTTTCCGTTTTGGCACCCGCTTCATTCGCGCCACATGCGCCTGGAACGATCGCGAACACCCCAATGTTTTACGACTCCGGGTGCATGTTTCGGCTCTGCAGCGCGCCATACAAACGCTAGTACCGCTGTCTCTCCTCCGTTTAATGTGGGCCGAACGCTCATTTCCCAGAATGGTCCCTACCACTCTCCCATCATCCTGAAGCAGAAGAAGGAAGGATGGGACGAGGAGTTCGACACTGAAATAGCAACTTATCAGAAGCTGAGGGGTCTACGGGTCATCATAATCTCAATCTATTACGGGCAGTCCGGGTTTGAAGCGAAACCTGCCTTGATCCTGTCCGATA